ATCCAGCGGCAGCTAAATCAATTAGATGGGCTTTTTTTTCATAAAGGGGTCCTATTTGTGGTTTTGGAGAGGATTGCAGGGTAAGGCTGTTAACAAGAAACGTGTAGAATTCGTTGTTTTAGAAGTAGCGCGAGAAACATCTTGTGGGAGACCAGCTCACCTATAGGTATGGGGTCGTCTCGACTTCGGAATTGCGCACAGCTCCTTAACTGCCAGCCGTGGGAGGATCTGGGAGTACCGTAATGAGAAGGTTTATGAGGGTAACGAGTGCTTAGGACGATACATTCCTAAATGTTGAGGTGATACTTTCTGATGAAGAGCCATTACTTCCATCGGTCGGTGAGGTGGTGCCGTGGTCGGAGGCGTCATATCGCACATGTATTGCGCTGCTCCACTCGTCATGGTGAAATCACTCTCTATTTCCACTTGCGATAAATTATCTTGAAGGAACCATATTGAAGGAGTTGAAATCTTCACTTGTACTTGAGCTGTCCACGAAAACTGTGAAGGCTCAACTTGCAGTAACACCATTGTGTTGAAGGTCAAGATTGTGGCGCAGCTCACGAGTAGCAGTTAATGCTACTGGTATATGTAAAATTTCGAATAAGTCCAATTTCAAAGTCACACATGGAGTTTCGGCAAGTGCGCTTGGGTCGCAGTCAATTGACAGCTCAGCCTTTGTCCTCGTTCACTGGGGCTGCACCTGACCAACAAAGCTGCCGTAACTTCCGGTCGACGCTTCTAGGTATTTCTTTGTTGCCGACAAATGGGGCAGAGTTCTTGAGCTATATATAGCCTTTTTTGGACTTTACACTGGCATTAACGTTTTCCGCGCTGTACTTTATGGTACTTTTAGAAATAATCCTTCTAGAAGCACTTGTTAAAGCGACCTGACAACAATCGCGATGCGCCGAACATTAATTTTATTGAAATCGGTGAGGTGTTTTTTTTAGTTTCAAGACGTTTGCGGGCTGGACATATTACTCCTTTTTTTCCAACTCTGGTCAAGTGTAATTATTCACTAATGTTCACAGTTCTCTTGAACTCTCAGGTCTCAGTGCCCCTTTAAAAGATGGCTGGCTGCGAGTCAAAAAACTCATTTTCGAATTTTAATCGCCGACCTTTCCTGGCATGAAGATGGCGGTTGGAAGCTTAGAGTCAGTGGCAATCAGGTGGCGCTTGACCTGGAAATACGCTCTGTGAACCAAGAACGATCCTTGTTGCCAGCGTATGGGCATTGCGGGGGAATTGGCAGGGAAAAGCATGAATCTCTTTGATTGGATCTCTATTGAAAAATTTTGGGGTTTTTGTCAAGTATTCTTTTACATCTGAGAGAATGCCGAAGCGCGGTTGATCTCGGAAAGAATTTTTTTGGATTGGGCGCATTCCTGCAGGTGGAACATGCTGTAAAATGTGCGAAGTTCCCACCGAATCGCTCGTCGCTGTCGTGAAGTCATAGGATGTTTTGAAGACACGCTTGCGGAGCAGATCTACTATCACCAAAAGATCGAAGTTTTTAGGATCTTTCTTGGTAGCTGGTAATTGCGGCTTCTTTGTTTGGCTTGTGGATGGAACTTCAGGGAGTAGTCTCATTCAATAATCAAAGCTTTTCGATGCAGGAAAACTAATCAAAAAATCAATCAAAAAAAACTACCAATCAAAGCTTTTATCAACGACTATTACAGACTTTTCTTCCAACCAAATTTGGGCGTGATCGGTCCGGCATCCTCATACATGCGTGCCAGGTTGTATACTGCATGTTAGTTCGTTTCAACCAAGCCGCTGAAAAATGCATAGCAGGCGATTCTAAGAGGCGCCAAATAAACAAGTCTCATATCGGCTGTACGAGCGTTTGCCTAGTTGTTTAACTTCATGTTTAGTAGCAGAAGTACGCTGCGCCTGTTCTTTTGCCTCCCAAAGGAACCCTGAAATGGCTGGTTATACGAGACCGAGCATCTTGAAATCTCGGAACCGGTGCCGACAGCTGTCTTGGTGCTGAACGTCGACAACGACTCAGACCTCAAAGTTTGAAGGTATATCATATTTAGCATTATAGCTACAAATCCCGTCCTTTGGTGAATGAAATCGAGCAATTGATCATTTGGTGTATATCCCAACTGCTACATGCAAGAACAGTTGATCTTCTGGTCATCAGGTGCTCTGAGGAAGGTGGTGCAGTAGTTAGTCCAGGTGAGCCCAGATGCACTGCGCCTGGACTAACTGCTGTCCCTGGAATGAATTATCAGGCCAAGCCGGCCTTTCATCTTTTTGAGAGTGAGCTGATCACGCTTGTCCGGGACCATGAAGGCTCTGACTATTTTCTTGTTGCCATTGTCTAAATCATTTTAAACGTCAGATATCTTGACGGTTTCGGAACTAGCGTGTGAGGATGTTTGAAGCAACCGACTGATCATTGTATAATATATCTCCTCAGTTTCCAGTGGAGCTGCTTGTAATTCCAAGCATTTCTTCCGTAATTGTCGTCTTTTTTCGCTTAGATTTCATTAGCTTTGAAACGTTCGTTTTCGTCAAGCAACAATAGCAAACTGTGAGGTCTCTGTAGGTAAAGATAGGATATCTTCTCTCCCATCTACCAACCTTCTTTGGAGTATATAAGTATTTCCCTGACATTTACTGAAATATAGGTTCAAAATTCTCTAGGAGATGCTATAAAAACTCGAGCAGTGCTGGTGGGCGTTGTGTGGGTGTGTGGAGACATTCCATGGTCCGGACGCTTTCCCACACCCAGTCGTTTTTTTCTCGAATCTATTCTCTCACGTCTCCTTTCCTAGCTGGCTTACCTTTGCTGTATCAAGCTCTATGTTGTGTTACGCTTAAATCTGGAAACTGGTTTTCTTTGTTAATCCATGTTTGAGAGAGTTTCTAAGCGATATCTGGCTGTGTTGCAGTGGCAAAACGCTGCGTATTTCAACTGCACGGTCAAGGAGCAGCATATTGCACAATATCAGGTCAAAACAACCCTCTGAATGAGATTGGTGGGATAACCATTATACCACCTCCAGTTTATTGTATGAGTTAAATACGCTTTCAAGCACAACTGCGACTTCAAATGGAAGTTTGGTGCATGGTGCATTCCTAATGTTTTCCTCATCGCGATGGGTTTGGTGAATCGAATCATGTCTTACATTTTTTGCCTTCCTCGTTTCTATGTTAATTTTCTGTGAGCTTATTGCTGGAGAATCTACGCTAACTAAGTTAAACAAAAGGAAAACTTTGATTTTGGAATTTGTTTTGTGTGTGAGCCGAAAATCCAATATGAACTGAATTCTTGGGCGATGTGAGGTGATAACATTATACTCGATTATTTTACTGGTTTAAAAGAGTATTTTTGATAATATTCGTCAAAGAGGCTTTCAGAATGTAACGACTGCGCAGATATTCTGAAAATGACTGGTTTCACATGGAAGGCATCAATGGAAATTCGCGCAGTCCATGACAGTGCCGCTGAAGTGCAGTACCGCTCTGCCCTGAGCCAAGTGTTTCAAAAGCACGTGGTTCCAATAGTTTGATAAGTCAAAACATCCCGCAGATCTTTTTTCTTCAAATCGGCGGGCAGGTGTATGCCATTTGCTGATATACTGGGATCTTTCCAGGCAGGGCTCTCGCTTTCTTTTGAGACCCTCCCATGGCTGCTGATTTAGTCGTAGACGACTGTGATACCTTCCGGCCAGGAGTCCTATAATCCAGTGTAAGTCAGGGCATCAGATTGGAAATCGTATGGCACGGCGCACTCCAAATTGCCTATTGTTAATGAGCAAATGGAAGGCGGTGGTCATCCATTTCTACCGTACTTGACGTCTCATATTGCCTCTAGTTTTAACAGTGATGACTGGCGTCCGTTTATTTAAGCTTCCACGCTTCAGGGTGAATTCTTGCGGCGGATCTGGTTACAAGGCGATATTGCCGTCTGAACTCCTCCTGAAACAATTAGATGCTGTCAGACTCGTTGGGACGGATAAATACCTTGGCTTATATAACCGCAGTCCAGCAGTTCGTTGCATAGGTTTGTTTCGTATTCGACCCTCAACTACATGAAATGGATTCGGGAGCGCATCCCCGAAGGGATTGGTCAATGTCGAATGTTTCCCTCGTCATGATTATTAATCTTCTATTCTCCCTCGCTGGCTCCTTCACCTACTCTAAAATTTCTGATGGCAGAGGTAAATAGCCTACCGACTCTTCCTTGACATCCTGTGCCAAGAAATCTAAATAGTTTGAGTTAGTGGCACGGGGTAAATATGCTTGCCAGCCTTTTTCTACAACTCGCACTAATGGCGCGTCAAACATTCTGATTGGGCTTGTGGCGCTCACTGGCGGGTTAATTCGGCTGGATTGGTGATTGTGCGTGTGTGTGTGTGATGACGGCTTTAGTCATTGGTCATCATTCGTCCAAAGACCGACCACCGACTCCGTAACAGCATCGATTGTTTTCGGAGCGCGAATGCTTCCATTGTCCAACCCCCCACTGATCACTCGGCCAAAAAAAACATCCGCGCCAGAAGTTATTACGTATCCGATTTGGGGGTGTTCGCTAGATGGCCGGCTGCGTCCAGACGTCCGTCGAGAGCTCGCTCTCTGCCCTGACATGCCACTCGTATTCCTTCCGCAGCGCTTAATCACGGCTCTCCGTCTCCAGATGAAAAGACACGAAAATAATTAAAATATCGGAGTTATGATGGATGAAAAGACGGTTTTATTTAGTGGGCAGTTTTTCCGTTCTTTTCATCTAATACTCTCTTGAGATTGGAAATTGAAAACGAATAAATCTCGAGATCCTGGAACCTATTTCGACTCGTCTTATGGTTCGGAGTTATTCATTCTATGACTTTTACACTCACTAGTTAGGTTTTCCTTCTCGCTCCTTGT